ACAACGAAACTGATTCTTGATATTTGGCGTTAATAATATACAATCGTGATCTACCATATCCTGTATCATAAACAAATGTTCCAGCTGAATATAGTTATACTTCGTTATGGATTATCGAAGACTTGCATCAATTTGCTTCAATACATGATGAGAATAATGAGTATTGTTGAAATTCAGTGGGAGTTTCTGGTACGGAAAATAAAAGATAAGATCAAGAATTGAGCTAACCTAATACTTAGTTACTTTTATATTAGTAGAGGAAGATGAGAGCAAAAATATGTTTTCATATTGAAATAAAACCATAATGAATAAATGGATAATGTACTATTCGACAGTTGATTATGTTTTTGAGTATAATATTTTCTTCATTCAGGGTTATACATCACAGATTTCACGAATTCTGTTAGAAAAGTAAGCCTTATTTTGAATCAATAAATATTAATGACATAGAGTAGATAATAATGATGTATTGTGGTACACTTTGACCATTGATTCTTTGGTTTGTTTCGGCAAAAATGCATCACACATGCGTCAGAAAGTCAAGAAGTGTCAAAAAACGTGAAGAAAACGTCATGAAAGCGTCACACATGCGTTACATTTTTCACGTTTTTTTCGACACTTTTTAACGTTTTAACCCATGCGCAACGTTTTTCCTACTACTGAAATTTATTGTTGTTCTCTTGATCTATTTTCAATCCTATAGCAATAAAGCAGATAGTAAATCTACTGGTTGCCAATAATTCAATCTATATATTCCATTGTCATTCTCACTCTCCCAACCAATACATCTTAATTTATGCATTGGGGTTAATCTGTACCACCTACAACTGATATAATGTATTATCTGATTCATAATAAAATAGGCAATTCGATTTGTTAATTGAAATGTTACTATTATCTGTTCTCAATTATTAATTCACAATATATGAATGATGTGATAGAAATACCACACCTAATACAGTATAATTTTATGGACATAATTTTGTGAGCGACTGATCACTATCAAAAAAGCAATTCATTTTCGATACAATGTGTCGGTTTGCCTAAATTGAAACCCTCACCTTCAGTGAAATTTCAACTCCAATGTTGCTTCTGATAAAAATATCAAGTCTGAACAATGGGCGTCATTTAAAAGGGGCAGCGGGGGGCAATTGCCCCACCCTGATTTTATATAAAAAAAATATTCTTCTCATTCGAAACTTCCTGTAACCGCCACATGACGAAATTCATCAGTATTGCACCAATATTTAATATTGAAAAAATTTAATATAATTTCCAAATTTTTGAAACATCATATATACCCGAATGAGAAAGCAGATAACTAATTTTCCTCATCCACATAGCAGACTGACTTTTTCCATCTCGAAAAGATACAGAGTGGACAAAAAGAATGTATGCATTTTTTCAACATTGACACCATGTATTTCGAAAGGTAGGACGTTTACGAGATACGTTCATTTGAGTTCTTGAAATGGGTCGAATAATCGGACCCTTCAATATTAGCATATCATTATAGAATACCCTGTATAATATAGATGCAGTTTGGGCGCAGTTAGGGTGTTCTGTGGTTTGGGCACAATGGATTTCTAGCCTATCAATTTTTGATTTCTATTCATTGTAGTGGCACAAAATTATTTGTTTTGAAGATCAAAATATCATTTTGTTATTAAAACATCGAGAAAATTTTCGATTTCACCAAATACATAAATCGATCTGGTGATTTGTCAAAGAAACTCCTTTTGGTTAGGTAAACATTACTGGTGTGGAATTTTCATCTAATGAAACTATGCAAGAAAATCACAAAAAATTAGAGAATATACAAAACGTCTATTTGGTTAACCTACAGATAGTATTTGAAATACTGAACTGAATGATTTATAATAACATGATGCAGTTGTTTTTACTCTGGAAGAAATTTTCGACTTGAAGGCATTTGACCTTGAATAAATCAAAATGTCGTCTGCGGCGCATGTTCACCGTACGATTATTTTGTCTGATTTCTTGACCCTCTTCGGAACTCACTGAAATGACGCCCCTGGTCCGGACACAGATTCTATATAAATTCGCTTTTACCCTGTCGTTAGAAGCTTTAACAGAGGCCTTTGAGGCATACGTGGTACTAATATTGGAATAAAAATCTGATGCGCCTCAATGGTGAAAAAGTGAAGGTATAATGGAAATGCACTCTTGATTATGTTGAATGCAGTATTACGAAACGAAATAAATAATATGTAATTTAATTAAAATTCGTTTCATTATCCTATTTATGAAATTAGATGTTCATTAAACTAGTGTTTTTAATTACACTACGGGTGAATGCTTTGCGAAATAAGGCGCAGAGGTCATATAAACAATATTACTGAAAACGTTTCTACACTATCGTGTTTCAGAAGCATATTAGAAGGTACTTCCACGGTGCTTTGACATGTGTAGAAGTGACACCATGAGTGATGTAACTGCAGTTATACATCCTTGGGTTACTAGATATCACACTGTTGGTTTTCATCACAACAATTGTATACTACTCGTTCTCACCTGCTCTGTTCTGACGAGGTGACGGCCCAGTGGCCGGAGGAAGTGTTATGTTCCCTTCAGCCATGGAGGGCGCCAAGTTGAAGCTGGTGAAAAAGGATGACATACCTGAACCCCAAATCTGCGTGGCCTTCATCTCAGATGATAAAGGGCTGCCCAGACTGACGGGGGAACAGGTGACAAATCGTCTACGAAACATCAACCATACACTGCGCACCCAGGAGTGGACTTTACTACACAGGGAAAGCGCAGGTACGGGACAGACGTAGATATTTTCAATGGACGATGTATCCATTAAGGAAGTGAAGCGGCTACACTTCCACCCACACTTCGGTTTTGGACAGGTGTAATTCCATTTCAAAAACACGAACACGAGACAGAGCCATCTGGCAAAATCGCAAGACGCAAGAGAAAGAAGATGAGGAAACGAAAAAACGTCGTCTTCGTTTATCTGATCCCAGACTTGTTTCGGTTTGAATTTGATGCGCCCCTGATTCTGCACAGTCTAAGGACCATTTCAACAATTTGGAACATGAACAAACATATTGGTAATGAGTACATTTATTGTTCAACCGAAATACACGCGAGCAATTTCTTGGGTCAAGGTAAACTTGACATCCATGATCCGAGTTGTGTTGCCTTTAGGGAATTCAACTCAAAAAACTGCCAGAAAAAAATACCCCTACGGACTCGTAATATTTTCGAAAGCAATTCGTTTTATTCCGAGACATTAACATTATCCTTGAAATGTCTAGTTAACTTCGATAAAATCTCGTGAAATTTCAAGTGACTATTTTCTTCTTGTTCTCGAGAACCAATCAGAATCGACAATTTTCACGATTTTTCTAGTATAACAACGATATTCTTTGTTTCCTAAAATTCATAGGGGCTGCTCTACCAATTCAGAAGCCTACGCACACGTGACTAACCAACCTCGTTTTATACCGATAAATCAACGGCTACACGAAAAATGCTATATGTCGACGACGTGAGTCATTTTGACATCGATAAATAAGGATGCACCTTTTTTCATCGCTGCTACACTGCCTGCTCCTTTGTTCTAGTAGCTATTTGCGCCTGATGCCACTCCAATTTCTGTCGTATCAAGTTCGATTGATGGGTATGGTCCACACGTGAATTAGCATGAGCCGTTTTGGGCAAATTTCGTCTGAAGAAATCACGAAAATATGAGGAAATCAATTCCGCAAACTACCAGGTACACGGAATCATCAATGAAGGTAATCATTATTGTTGTTTATTTGTATATTGTCGTTGATTTATGTTTCCAAAAAGCACTCGAACTTTTTTTCAACTGGATAAACTTCCTTACTAACTCAAACATTTCCATCAGTTATTTCTCTCGAAAATCTGACATTAGACGACCTACGGTCTCGCAATTTAGTCATGTCAATTTTTCTCGTAAAAAAACTGATCGGCAAATGTTTTTCGTAACCAAGAGAAATTTATCCGATGGAAATAAGCTCTTGTGTTTCAACTGTTGATGAAAGAAAACTTTTGTGTTTTGACTGTTGATAAAATCGTTGACGTTAATAATTCGAAAGGCGCTCGTTCATTGTCTCAATCATAGAATAGTCCTACGAATACAACTCGTTATACTATTCTCTCTGTAAATATTCGTCGATTGACATACTCTAGCTTGCTGCTCTACTTTTGCTCATGACATTGTTCCAAAACTTCTCGTCTATGGCTCGATAAACAATGTCATTCGAGAAATTATCAGGCAACATGCTGTCGTAAGAAGCACCTAACATTTCTGGCATAATATTATCACTTATGGTTGGCAATCTGAGTCGATCCATCGTGCAGTGGAGTGAAGATAATAAGGCAGGAAGAAAATCTTATAGTCAACTCCATCAAAACTATACTTTATTTAAATTAGACAATGGGACATGTTTCGAAACCTCCAAAGCTTCATAATCACCAAAATTGTTACAGGAAGTACTGTTCTGGGGAAATTCACATGTTGAAAACAAAAAAATACGGTTTATATATTATTATTTCAACTTAAGAACATTGAAAAACTTAGCAAAACAGGGACCGCAATTAACTGCGGATCACCTCCGTAAAAAATTAGTATGAAATAAATCGAGGAAATTTTTCAGAAAATTTAAAAAATGTTGGAATTCTTTTGATATGAAACATTTCTCACATTTTTTGAAAAATTTCCTCGATAATTTTCATACTAATTTTTTGACAAAGGTGATCCGCAGTTGATTGCGGTCCCTGTTTTGCTAAATGTTTCAATGTTTTTAAGTTGTAATAATATATAAACCGTAATTTTTTTGTTTTCAGCATGTGAATTTTCCCCAGAACAGTACTTCCTGTAACAATGTTGCTGATGATGAAGCTTCGAAACATGTCCCAATTTCCAATTTGAATAAAGTATAGTTTTGGTAGAGTTGACTGTAGGATTTTCTTCCTGCCTCCCTTATGGTTGGTATAACATATATAAAGGAAATCTGAGTAGGTACTCACATTGATGAAGATCGATGTTCCCTGATCCCTTCTTTGTCTGGCGACCCCCTCGAGCTACCACCCTTTCGGTCATGCGAAATCCTAGCCCTCATCGACTGGTTGACCCTCATCTGCCTGGGCTGCAGCGGTGGTGGGACTTCCTTGACGGGGCTCTCGGCGATAGACGCCCTTTGGGCCCTGTGGGTATCAGGGGGCTGCCTCTTGAGCGGCTCAGGCCGATACGCCTCCGAGACCCCGCTGACCTTCTGGCTCACTGCGACGTTGCCGTTCAGGACCAGCTTCTGCGAGCTAGGGTACCTGCCCAAATTACATTATCAGTTTTATTGTTAGCTACAGGAGGTTGTTACAGCCTATTTCAAAACTATTATACTTCAATAATATCATTAGAACAATAAAACAACCTTCTCAAAACATAGGGGTCCACCTTTATAAAAGCTGTCACAGCTTCTCTTGAAGCTCGTCATGAAACTAACAGGAATTTATTGTAGTATGCCTTGAAACAATGATAAAACCTATCAAAACTGCTTCCTTCAAAGCATTTTAGCAAGAGTTCAAACCTATTTACTTCAAAGCGACAGTTCTTATGCAAAAATTAAAACACATATTGGCAAGAATTGAAATCTTATGAGTTGAAGTGAACATTTGTTGAGATAATATAGTCCTTAACGTGTTATATAGGAGTCTCTTTTCAGAACAAATTATAATACAAACATGTCAAAATGGAGTAAAAACAATGAATGGTTGTAAAAGAGAGTAAACATGGCGGTATGATATGATGATTCCCTACTGTATCGAATAGTCCTTTTTGTGAAGATTGAGGCTGTGAAATGAAAAGGATGAAAACTGTTTAGACGAAAACATACCAGATATGCTTCAAAAGAAGCAGCGCCCTAGAAATAATGTGTTTTCACCAGTAAGAATTGGATGTGAATTCGAATGACTATTCGAAAAAGTTGACAAAACTGTATGAAGGTTTGGTGAGTCGTTTGGAAAATGTGGTAAAACAACTTTATTGTCTTACTTTGGATGAAGAATTTCAATGACTTTCACAGAGCTCTCTTGAAACCGAAGTGAGCTGAATGCGAAATTGTTTTATGCGATAGTTTTATCATAGTATCTCAAAACCTTCTGATAGGATTATTTGGACATGAAGGCCAATTTGGTTCTTACAGGACATTCATAAAACGGTAGAGAAAATTAGACCTATCATTTGCAATCACATAGGCTCTTGACGGAATAGAGAAATATAGTTATGCGTATGTCCTAGGTACGTCCCTTTTTTATCCCGCGGTACAAGGACATGATTGGAGCATCCAGGGGATGTCCGGCAGTGGTTGTCTAGTGGACATCCCGCCTGATACAACCCTAAGTTATCATATTCGTGTCCCTGGAATATCTGATATCCATTCACATCAGAGTCATTGAATTTCATCAAGATAATTCATTGATTTTTTTTGAAAATGTTTGTTTTTATATCGTCAGTCTCAAAACTTCTTAAGAAATGACTATTTTTCGCAAACAGAAATCGTAAATGCATAATGCTCCTCATTTTTGAACACCTAAGACTGATGATAATCATACTCAAATCCTAAAGAAGTTGTATTCATTCAGGTTTCTGTAGTTTAGTCCTGTATATAAATCTGTTTAGTACATAAATCTTCAGAAGGCATATTAGCCAATGAAGTAAGGTGCGTGCCTGATAAGCGTAAGGTCCCGGGTTCAACCCCTACTCAACCTAATTTTTTTTTTATTTTGTCGAAGGAATGTCCTTGAAATATCCTTGGGATGTCCTAGGAATGTCCTTTCTACGTACTTAGTACATCCCAGGGACGTACCAGGAGGACATCGTGAAGATGTCCTTTTTGTCGAAGAGCGGATGTCCGTTGGACGTCCCTAGTATGTACTTTGTCCCGACTAAGGATATCCTTGGGATGTCATAATATAATATTAGGGGCGTCCCTGGGAATTCCCTAGGATGTACTTGTGTTGTTAGGGAATAGATCTATTACTATTGTACAATCGAAACCCTGTACCTGGTGCTGGATCGCTCCTGGTAGCCGCGCTGGCTGGGAAATCCCAGGACTTGGTCGGGCCTGCCGGGTTTCTCTGGTTGCATGGGGGAGACGTAGGGTTTGCTGCTGACTTGGTGGAATATTTGCTCGACTGATTTGGTTCGGATGGAGGAGCGCACGCTGGAATGCCTGAAATCGTTCTCTGGGAGACCTGAAATTCAATAAAACAGAAAATGTAGCATATTTCCCGACAAATTCAAATGGAATTAGGTGATAGAACTTAGTTCTAGAAAATTATTACTAAAAAACTGTGAAGTATTCATATTGTTTTACATCTAGGTGATGAGTTTTGGAGTTCGTTTCCATTTTTCCTAATGAGCCTCAAACGGTGGTGACAACAGGATACGAGAGTTTCGACCTCTTAGCAAGATATATGCCAAATCAAGGATAGATAGTTCTTTTCTCCAACTTTTCATGAGAACTTATAAACTATTCTTCTTCAATATCAAATGTGAATTGAGTTTGCAGATATTGATTTGGGCATTCAATAAAAATGTTTCTTGAATCTTGCTGTCTCGGTCAATCTTGAAGGATTCTTTCGTAAGCCATATTCTAAGAGATACAAATAATTTCTGACCTTTTTCTTCATGAAATAACCTCTAATTAAAAGGTATCCAACATTTTTCACCAACTCAATAGGGATTAGATGAATACAGAAAGCTCAAGTCATTTTCACACAATGTTCATAAAATAAACAGCAATGGTAGAGTTCAAGAGAAAAACAACTTTTCTGGCTAATGCCACGCAGAAAATTGAATTACATCCTCCCGAAATCTGTGAATCGACTCCTATAAACGAATACTGATACAAGTGATTATTTCCTGAATGCCCATTGGTTTCGATTTAGCCAGGCCACGCTAGACACCTACAGACCGGTTTCGAGCTCAGTGCAGGGCAGTCTCCAGCCAGGAGTCCTAAGACCGTTGACTGTGTGTGGAAATGACTTTGAGCTTTTTGTATATTTTCAACATTTCATTCCACTCTGAGCATTGTGGCTATTTCGTAGTTGAAATCACGCCAATAGGGCAACCAGCCTCTCCGTATGAGAATTCTGATTTGAAAGTGTTTCTTTCCTTTTTTTCTACTGAGATGGCGTTGCTATTGTCTATGGAGGACGCCTCTGAGGGAATATAATGCCAACTAGATTTTTGTTTGGCTAGGCTACGATTAGTTAGCGGTCTCAGGACTGCTGGCTGGAGACTGATCTGCACTGATGAGAGTCGAAGAGCTCGAAACCGGTCGGTAGGTGTCTACCGTGGCCTGGCTGAATCGAAATCGATAGGTATTCAGGAAAGAATCACTTGTATCAGGATTTTGGGAGGATGTAATGCAATGTACTGCGTGGCATTAGCCAGGAAAGTAGTTGCAATCTTGCTATGATTCATCTCACCATGAGCGACTGAGAAATTTCATCCCAATATTTTTTCAATGGTGTCATCGGTAGTATACCTCAAGCCATCTTAGGAATTGAATTTTGTGTATTTATTTAGATAATATATAATAATAATAATAATAATAATAATAATAGGATCTTATTGTCTCAAACTGCACATGTTACATTTCACAGTTCAGATATGGAGTTTGAAGACAAAAGGCAGAGTTCGGTACTGACGGTAGGATGAGTTACCGAGAGGACGCACTCTTCCACTCAACCTATATTGTTACTTAATAATTAAAGATTAGAACAGAAGTCCCTAACTTTACAAGCTATCGGATAATACAAATGTATTATTGTACCAAATTTCGAAAAAATGTGTTGACGAATGCAGAAGTAACAAGGGTGGCCTTGTGTCACTTGGTATAAGGCTGTAGCTACTGAAAGGATTCCTGTTGTTTGGAAAAATCATAATGGAATATGTGGAAACGAATTAATTCATTTCAAGGATAGTCTAGGCCACTCTAGACCGTCTGATACTAGAAAAGGAGTGTATTTAATAGCACCTGTTAATAGTTTTCTTTCAACAGATTTACTTGAAAAGTGTGTATTTCATTATAATAATTGTGAATATTTCAAGGTGTCTTATAGGTAATCATTGAAGAATTATTATTCATTACAATAACTCACTCATACAGGCGATTAAATCCTTCATTTATAAAAGCTAGATTATGGATCTACACTGAATCTGATACGATCGGCATGAAATCTTCAACAGGTCAAATGATGATCATCTTCATAATCAAGGTGAGAGGGAGAGAAATATGTTTCAATTACAACTATTCTCTGAAATGCAGTTTATCGATACTTCTGATCAGAATATCTAGAAGACCCGACGTTTAATGCTTTTTGGAGAGTATGGACAATGAGGATACACTTGTCACCATTGACATTCTCAAATTGATTAGGCGTAAAGAAATAATCATCGTTATTGACGAATATAATACCCTACATTCCCGGCATATCTGAAAAAATAGAACGTGTTGGTGATAAGTTCCAAGTGGAAACAGCGTTCAAAACTGAGTATATAATCTTGAACAAAACCGAAAAATGAAGAACAAAATTGTATTTACTGTATACCTTGTGTTTGTGGAAAGTATTATAGAGGTAAAACGAAGATACATCTCTCTGTGAGGATGAAAGAACACAAGTACAATATCATGAGAAGACATTAGATAAATCAAAGCTAACTGAACATATCCTTTCTGAAAATGGACAACATGTGACAGAATGGAATGATATTAAAATCATAAGAAAAGAAGACAACCAGAAGGGAAAAATCAAGGAATCCGCTTGCATTCTTCTGAATGGAGACAATAGCATTGCTTCCTGTTTAGTTGATATAGATAGAACATGATATTCACTACTGGGAACTGAACATGAAAATGGTAGATTCAAAAACAATTAATGAGAACATCCTTCAACTCTCATTTGTATACTAACATCAGTATGACACTGGGAAGTGTCAAACTAGAACAGAATTTTTGACGAGGAATATTTTGCATTTTTATGTTGAGAACAGGAGCAGATTCGTTCCCGAAACGTCCAAAGATAAGTAGAAATCTGATATTTTTTCAATATATCTCTATTTCTTCTCTTCAAATTCTTTTCCAGACAAAGTGTCACTGACAAGCTGTTGGAATTTTCTTTCAGGCTCTCTAATAGACAAATGTTTCAAACGCAATGACAGTTTGGGAAAAATCATCTGATTTGTCCTACCACACATTGTAATGATAGGTACCTATATTTCGATATTGTAGGAACGTGGAGAGAAAAGCCTAAATAACCAAGTGAAATGAATGTTACACCTCCTTGATTAACCTACAGACAGTATTTTGTAGATACATTGTTTGAAAATCTTGTAATGATTGTTGATTCTTCATTTCATTGTGATTAACCAAGGTGATTACAGGTTTTATGACCTAATCGAAAAATTATGCATTTTAATCATTCGCTCTCATTTCCATTTCCATTTCACAGTGGTTGTAAAATGGTTGAAAGAGATGAAAGTATCCAATGCTCATGACATTTCATCTCCTTCAGTATCTACAAGCTTTTTTCTCTTGAGTGAAATACTTGAAAACAACGACATAATATGGGTTATTCAAAATTCCCGATATTCGAAATAGTTGAGCTACCAAACACCAGAGGCGAGCAATGAAACAAAAGAGTTTAACATGTACGTTGAACATCTATAGAGAGTATTTATTTATTTATTTTTTCATTAGCCAAACAGGCTATTACAGCCTAATTACAAGGATAAATATAAAACACTATGAAATTACACAAAAAAATATTTACTTTCTGTTGTAATTACTCAATACATAATTGTTAATTATTATTGATTATTATTCAATCAATTTATTGATTATTTACAAGAATTGTAAGAAGATGTTAACTTGTGAATGCTTGAATCTCATGAAGATATATTCAGTATATTATGCTCTAATGTGCTTTTACTATTAAGTGCTGGGGGTGAGGTCCAGTCTAAACTGATTGGTGTATTGACATTGTTGACTGATCTGAGTAAGGATACCAGTGGTGCCCTCGTTATAGTACTAATGCTGAAACATTGAACATAAGGATGGATCGTGTACGACGTGAGGGTACATTGAAGGGAATTTCTGGAGAATTTACTTCATTGTTTATTATAGTTTGTACAGAAATATCGAAGAAGTTAGTCTTCTTCTTTGCTCCAGGAATAATATTTGGAATTCAGATCTCTACTGTGATGTTCTCATGGTACTATCAGGCCATACATGATACTGTTTAAAATATATAAATACCTTAGTAATTTATTTTGAATTTTCACCTCTTCCTACAAATTTGTTTGATATTCTCCAAACCAAATAATTGAGGCGAACTTCAGTTTAGGCCTGACAAGGGAATAATGAAGTAACTTGATAGTAATAATACAAGAAGATGATGTCTGTCTGATAACAAATTCTGAAATTTCAATGGCATATTTTACAATTTGTTTAATATAGTTGGCAAACGAGAACTGTGAGTTGTAAGTGACCCCACGAGTTATCGATAGTACAGAACATTTCTTGAAATTGAAATATAGTTTATTCTTTTGGCTCCACTCTAGAACATTTTCTATATCTTTCTGTAGTCCTATGCAGTCTCTAACAGTTTTTACACGCTTGAAAATCTTCAGATCGTCAGCAAATAGTAGACAGTCTGAAAATTTGAGGTTCATTGGAATATCATTAATAAATAGTATGAAGAGAAGTGGTCCTAGGTTCGATCCTTGCGGCACACCAGAATTGGCAAGAAACTGAAACAAGTAGTTGATCTATGATACTCACCAACTGTTTGCTGCAACAACTTTCCCTCCACCTTAGCTTTCTGCACCTGGGGCGCCGGCACCTGGTTCCCAGAACCCCCCTCCTTCAACCTCTCTCCCAAACTCTCCCGCCACCCGCTGTCGCACTCTGGCGGGGGCGGCGGCAGCGGTTCATCACTATTAAACACCTCATCCTCAGTCACAGTAGGCGGACTAGGTGGCGGCAGGTCAGGACTGGGCACCCTCTGGAACAAATCCGGGAACGCGGCACGCAAATGCGGGTTCTTAGGAGGCCTAGCCGGGACGTAGTCATCCACGGAGATCGCGGGACCGACAATCATCGGCCCCAGCGTGTCTGCAGACAAGCTGCCGCAAGAATTGCTGTGCTGGTGCCTGGGGATTGGTTTGCTAGAGGTCTCAGTGGTCTTCGACTCCAGGCTGGAGGCTAGGCTGCTCCTCTTCGAATTGGTGCCGGAAGCGTAGTCTGAGGCGGAAGAAGCTCTTCTCGAAGGCATTTGTACTTTGACTGGAGGAGGAGGCTGGGGCACGGCAGTGAGTGGTGCTTGGGCTAGTTGGGGTTCTGATCTCCAGGAGGTCTTGTTGGTCGGGTTGTTGTGTCTTTCGTAGAAGGAGAGGAGGGCTTTCTTTTGGATGGCTTTGAGAGTGGGATCGGGGATTTTGTGTTTTTTGTCGGGGTCGAGGTATGAGTATTTTTGTTGCCGTTCGAGTTCACTGATTCTGTCTGCTACTGAGAGGGAGGATTGGAGGGACAGCGATAACCTGAAGGAAAATAAACCAGTTATACAAATATCATCAAAGTAAAACGAATAATTAAGTTGATAATTGGGATTCGGAATTTGGAATGTTTTTGAGTTCTCTGAATGTTTTGAAATTACATATTACTTCAGTGCAGCTATTTAATGTCTGCTCCTGTAGTTTATAATTAGATAGAAATTCCCAGCATTCAGCTACCATAAAAGTAGTTCAGAACGTTTGGATTTATGAATAACCCACAATTGAAATTTCTTAAACTGGATTATAATAACATGGCCCGAGGTCAGGTTCAACCTTGGCCAAATATACAGCATGTTTATGGAGAATTCTGCTGTTTATATTACTAGACGATACAAGATCTGACTCGCAATTTAATTGAAACTATCGACTGATTATTCCTTTGATCGCTCATTGATTAATCATAGTTCTTTTAGTAGGCTCAGCGACCATTTCAATTACGTAATCTTATAATTTTATTAAGAAAAAACAGTTGGAAGCAAAGCAATCACGTTTGCATGAAACATTCGTGAAGTTGTCATACTCTAGGTGATTTATTCGACATTTGCATATTCAAATGATTGTTGGAGCAATTCCTAGGAAATTACTCTATTACTTGATCGCCTTATCACAATGCAAAAAAAAAGTTTTGCATATTATAATGTGGGATTTAATAGAATGGATCTCATATGACTCGTGGATTGTTTCAATCGCTCACTTTGAAATTACATGATCATTGACATGAATGGGATCTGATATATAATTAAATTGTTACCAGTTGATGCAATCGATCATTGATATTAGGAATTATGCTCGAGGATATGTCTAGACTCAACCTGGATGACAATAGAGATGAAAATCAATGAATAATCTCTACGGAGAGCCAGCTCTCTTCCCAAAAATCAACTACAGTTGATATCTGTTATGAATAAATATTTGTTTGGTGGAAATACGAAGTTTGAATCGCTACTACTACATTTTGATCGATCACCAACCAATCTTCAAGAATGTAGCTGATATACAAATCTCAATCTGGATAGGTCGTACCATCAATCATAGTCTTCGAGGCAAAAGATTCTGAATGAAACATAGAATCGATAATAATGGCCATTCTGCTATTTTAGAGCTACAGCTACAGCTACAAATTGAACAGTTACTTTCCTTTTAATATTAATTCTAAATTCATTTGCGAATATGGAAACATCGAAACTCTCCCAATCATAGACGTTGTTGTAATCAAAAATAGCGAATACTAATGAGAGTTTGATGTTTTCCCGAGAATCATTGACACTTAGATACAGTTTACAGAGGTTTATTCGATGTTGTCCATACAAATAGTACATTATACACCTAGGGATTGAAGTGGTAATTCAAATCCCTGGTCAAAGAGTTTATAACCCGAACAACAGGAGGGCTATAATTTGTCGGGGGATTTAATAACATTCAAGTCCCGAGGTGTATATGTAAATTACGAAATAACATTTAAATTCTACTGAACGGTAGTTACTTTTTTTCAGAAACATCATCGCAGGGGCTGATTGTTACCATATCAACAACAACAACCTCAGTAACTATGGTGATCCAGATCATGATTGTTATTGGCAACTGAAAATCTTGGTGTCTTATGACAAGTAGCTAAGTAAAACTTGAATAAATAAATATTAGTCAAACACGCCACACCGATTCAAAGACGTTGATGGTGATGGAACAAATCGAAAAGGCAGCTCAAGAAGCTGAAGGCCAAGTATTACTAAGAAAATCTGGAGAACAATATGAAAAACAGTTATCTGAGTTCATCAAATGGAACAAAGAACGGAACGTACTGAAATGTACAGGTAGCATATTTCTTGGAAAAGTCAAAATAAACTTAAAGCATTGTCATTGTGGAGCGTATATTCGATGATGAAAGTCACAATTGCGACATACATTTGGAAAAACATTTCTAAACTTAGATTTTATTGCAGAAACATTCACTTCAAATCTCTATGAATTTGAACTACCACGTTTTCCCCGAAAAAAGGGAATAAAGGTACCCATTAAATCCCCGAAGTGCATTAACTTGTTTATTTCATTATGACTGATATATGAAGAAAGCTTCAATTTTGAAAGTAGTGCTGTATATGAAGCAGCTAACGTCAGTAGTAATTGTAACTACAGGTTCGTACAACATTTTACATAGGAAGTAAAACAATTTGGTTGCTTACCAAATCAGGCTACTGGGACGATATATTCTTCTCTGTTGATGTGAAAATCACGCGTGAAGTTCACATTGAGAATGAAACTTGAGCATTTATATTTGTTTACATAGGCCACATAATTTGATGCTTACATAAGGACACCTAGATATAGCTAAGAATAGATGATGCTGAAAAAGCCCATTTTGTAGAGTCATCTGTAGTATAGTAGATAACTTGAAGACTACGATTTCCACGTCGATCAATCCTGACTTCGAATAGCATATTTAGTTCGTTCCTGGAGTTGGTTAGTGTCGAAACAGTGTATTGTGCATGATAATTGTGCCAGAAGTTTCCAGGATTCAAATAACAAGAGAACGGACGAACAACAGACAAGTATCTAGCCGTCTTGCAGTGTTCAGGATCGAGAAAACCTGAAGTGACAGCAGTAACGCGAACCTTATTTCTAGGAATTATATTCTTAAGGAAATTACCTGAGAGAACAAGATAGACTACTTCTTTCAATTAATTTGACCCAAATCGGCCCAACTATACTTTCCTTGGGAGTATATTTTTTGTCGAAAAATTACTTGGGAAAACAGGAAAGAATACTTCTGCCAAACAATCTGAACTATAACGCGATCTAAATGAACCTAGTATATTTCTTGGAAAATATTCTCTTTGCATAATATAGCAGAATAGTTTTCTAAATATTATAACCTAACTCGTCCTGAATGACGCTTTTTTATAGAAAGACTATTTTTCGGAGAATTACTTGAGAACAAAATGAACGCGATTGCTCGCGAGCGCGACAGTACGACTCATAGCTCGCTGTATCACTCGCTTACTTAAATATTATTGTTATGGAAAAAAATGCCTCTCGCAGATATCTCGTGTTTACAGAGAGCCACCAATAAAAATGGTGCAGCTAGACGCTTGTTTCGGGTATTCTCGTTCCTGAACACTGCCAGACTCTTGTGAACAACAAACCCACCTGTTATTACTGGACGCACAACCATTCCCGCTCGATTGATTCTCGCTCTCCTTCACCGTGTACGTGTTGAGCGCGAACAGCTTCAGCTTGTTCGCATTATTGTTCCTGCTCTCTCTGTCCCTCCAAGTCCCCGGGTCTTTCTCGCCGCTCATGTACAAAACACTCTCCGAATGGTGCCTCTGAGGCGTCTGCACCCTCGCGCTGTGCACGATCAGCTGCCGCGATCCAACATGCGAACTGCTATGTGAGGTTACGGAGACGTCGCTCATGGACCCGTGCCACTTGAGCGTCTCGCTAGAGGAGGCGCTGCCCGAGCTGCCCCTGCCTTGCTCAGGGCCAAGGTCCTCCCAGGTGGCGGAGGAGGCTGGTCGGCTGGTCACGGCCTCGCTGTCCCTCCTCAGGCGGTCCAGGAAGGGCGTTGATGTGGAGTCGGTGCTCGACACGTAGCTGTGGTAGCCCTCGGACTGGGCGTAGGAGGTCTGCTTCTGGTGGAGGTGGGTGAGCATGTTGCCTTCGTGCTTCGAGGAGATCGAGCTGAAGAGGGAGTCTTCGTAGTTGCGCGTGTACTCCATGAATTCCTCCAGACCTGTTCGAGACAGACCGTCATTTTAGATACAGTTATACTCAGAGATCTACTGATATCAACTACCAGATGGTGTCTAGAGAAAGGAAGGAATTGAGAATAATTTAAATAATTCAGAGGACATCGAGCTCAAGAGGAAGTCATTGTAGTTGCACACGTGTATTCAATGAATTCCTCCAGAACTGTGCAAGACAGACCGTCATTGTCGATAAAGTCATAAATCTGATGATTGATTTGAACTACTAGATGGTGTCTAGAGAAAGGAAGGAAATGAAAATGACGGAAAGTGAGACACAAGAGATCAATAGGGCACTGAGAGAAGATCGAGCTGAAGAGGGAGTCTTTGTAGTTGCGCGTATTTTCTATGAATTCCTCAAGACCTGTTCAACACAGACCGTATTTTTCGATGGAGTCAGAAATCTAATGATTCAAACTTCAAGATGGTGTCTAGAGAAAGGAAGGAAATGAAAATAAGGTGAACGTGAGACGCAAAAGATCAATAGGACACTCAGAGGAGCTCGAGCTCAAGTCTTTCTAGTTGTGTGATCTAATGATTTGAACTACTCTATGAGAAAGGAAGGAATTGGAAATAATGTGAAAGCGAGACGCAAGAGATCAATGGACACTCAGAGGAGATTGAGCTCAAGAGGAGGTCTTTGTAGTTTTTTTTTTTCATGTTCTGGTTTTCACGAGAAGGGATATCCTGTAATGTTCAGAGAACATCGTGAGAACCAGGGGAAATAAGGTAGGAATTGGTGTTCTTCTCAAATTTCTGGAGGTTATATGCTTCGGGAAACACCTTCCTTGGCAATGTGTTCCAGAGCCCCGCTGTTCGTTGGATGAACGAATCTTTGGAAAAAGATGTTCTGCATGTCTCCAAAGTGACCACGAAGGGGTGCGATGCCTCAACTCGACGGGTTATTTTCGCTGGGACTGCCATGGGAGGAACAATTGTTGATATTTCAGAAGAGCATCATCCATGAAAATGTCTATAAAATAGTGCCAGATATCCAACGTTTCTACGGTGTTCTAGAGAAGTGAGTGAGTTTGTGAGCGATGCATCACTCACGAGACGAATTGCCCTTTTTTGGACAGAATCCAACAGTTTCAGGGTATGTTTGGGTGCTGCACTCCAAATAGGGAAACAGTATTCCAGGACAGGTCGGATCTGTGCCTTATACTTCATAAGCAGCTCACTGGAAGAGTACTTCATGAATTCCTCAAGACCTGTTCAAGACAGACCGTATTTTTCGATAAAGTCAGAAATCTAATGATTTGAACTATTAGATGGTGTCTAGGGCAAGGAATTGAGGATAATGTGGAAATGAGATGCAAAAGATCAATAGGACACTCAGAGGAGAACGAGCACAAGAGAGAGTCTTTGTAGTTGCGTGTGTACTCCATGAATTCCTTCTGTTCGAGGCAGATCTAATAATATCAACTACTAGACGGTGTCTAGAAAGAGGTAGGGGAATTGAAAATAACTCAAAAGTGATGGTTAGCGATATATTCAACACATTGATATTTCGAATTTAACCTTGATCGTCACTAAAAAGAAATGTAGAGAGCCAACCAATGAATTGGACGAACGAAATAGAGTCACTGGCTGATGCAGCCATATTCTCTGTTATTTGTTACCATCAATGCTTTACAGAAAATGGTGAAGCAACGGCATATACAGACAAGTGCCAAAAAACGGTCGGTGCTGTATCTTCTGAATCATTCTAAATCGGATTTCAAAAATTGGGGGGTATAACAAATTGTTCATTATCAATTGAAAAAACAATTTTTGTTCAATCACTTCCGGTCTCACCAGAAACGACCCTAACACCATGTATTTTATTCCATAATTGGTTAGGGATTAATATATAACGAATTCAATGATACGGGATTTGATGGGGTTAATTCAAACGACTGTGAAGATATTCGCGTTCTGAGTTTCCATTTGCTTAATAAGTGGGACAGAAAAAGAAGTTTCGATAATGCGAAGTCACACTAATCGTTCTGCAACCGATTATGGAATGAAATACAGGGTGCCCAATTTCAAAATCAGAAGTTATGGTCGTTTCCGGTGAAACCGAAAGTGATATAACAAAAATTGGTTCGTCAATTGATGAGCAATTTGGTATACTTGCTACCTACCAATTTTCAAAATCCGATCTCAAATGATTCAGAAGTTACAGCACTGGCCATTTATTGTGCACTTCCCTGTATATTGTAATAGATTTAATATAAGATCTTTTATTCCCCAAAAAACTATTATAGAGGTGGCATGAAGATGTGGGAAGATGAATATGTTCACTTATTACAACACAGGATTTTCACGAACGGTTTTAAACATTGCCTCAGTTTTCAATAATCATTAGGAACAGTGCCAAATATCATTGGTCAAGTATGGTAAATCTCAGAGAAACAAACAAGGGCGAAGTTTCGAAGTGATAATATGTAGAAGTTCAACTGTGCATTTCATATATCAACAAATGCTCTAGAACTTGAACACTCGTGACTTAGGCTTACTAAGGTGATTGAAATATCAGTGCTTATATACTTACTGTGATTCGTAAGATTTTCAGAGCATAATATGTTCAAAGACAGAGAGGTGGTGACTGAATCAACTAAGTGTTCAATTGATTTTGGGTATCACCACATTAGAAACCAAAACATATCAAGACTAATTCGATCCAAGCCATCCAATATTACTTATTGGTATGAAATCAAATTCAATCGTCCATGGATGAATTGATGTTTCATAATTTGTTTCAAGGTAAAAAACCTATTTATACATGGACGAATCAATCTAGTGATTTGACAGGCTGAACCTTCTCGTTATCGTTGGTTATACTAATAGCATCTCTTTGAAGTAACTGACATTCTTCTCGATGAAACCCGATCCCAATTTTCTATTCATCAAGGCCTTATTGACAAGAAAATTATGGTAGAAGAAGTTCTATCAAGTATTATACGCTGCAATGATCGCTTGATTCTCAATAACGGCTATTGAAGTGCGATCTTTGAAGAGTTCATGATGATGCGAAGTGTACTGAAGACATTCTTGGAAGAGGTGTTATTCATCATACGATAATAATCATTAGTTTATAGAATACATGCAATTTTTTTGGATGCTGTATATATGTCATTGAAAGAGTATTGCTGCTGAACTGTTGCAGACATGGTTTTCACTGACCTGATTCTGTTAGATGGCCGTGGTTCGGTTTCAGATCTTCTTCGCAAAATTTGGGTTCCTGGTAAGACCTAGCGTATTCCTCGAGGTCAGACTGGGTGAGTTGCGGTTTACCAGGAATATCCCTCTCAGGAGGAGATGGCACCATGTAGTCCATGTCTCCTAGAGTTTTACCATCGTGGTCCACCTTTGGCAAGAAAATTCTCTCGTTAACTTTGTCGTAACGAGATTCGAAGGTTTCCGGTGGGATTTTTTCGCACTTTTCCATCACAGTTTTCAGTTTCTGCAAACAAAAATCGTAATTCGTTAACGGAGTATTCGATTTTGGAAGAAAAGGGATACTCGTCGAATGGGGGCTGACCAGTTGGAGCTACTGAAACTTGAGTTCGATGTCAAAGCCAAAATCCCAATATTTTGCCAGATGAACCCAAAGGCTATGAACTTTTTTATCAAGAATATTGAGATTTTTTTTTTGAATATTTGAACAAACAGAAAACCTTAAGTCAACGTGGTACTTGAGCGGACTTACGTTTTTTCACTCTCAATGTGGAAACTTTGCGATTTAGGACGAATTCCTACATTGACGGAGAAGAATATACTAGGATAGGAAGAGACCAAATAGTTAAAATTCAAAAGGAAAATTTCATTTTCTCATTAGGAAGTTTATTTTCACTATTAATTCATTTCCCACATTTAAGTTATCGCTGGCTAGGTTTCTCAGTCTGTTCATCTCATTCAACGCATCATTGTTGCAAGGCCGTTTGCCGGTTAATGTCCAACAGTCCAACTCTTCAATAAGGAGACGTTCTGATAATTTTACCCTACTAGACGCCACGTATGCTTGACCAGCAGCAAAGAGGACTATTCACCCATCTTGGATGGTCCGCCATATTAAACATAGGATGACGTCATATATTTTTCAACGAGCCCTTTCATTTGATTCCCATATTGTGGAACTGCATTATAAACAACTATTTCGCCATCTTGGCTCGTCCGCAATATTGGATTCAGAATGGAGTCAAATCATTTTTTGAGTTGCTCTCGACGATACCCATATTATAGAAGTGCATCAAAAATAACTATTCCGCCATCTTGGATGGTCCACAATATTCGATTCAGAATAGTGTTACATTATTTACAGAGTTTGTCTCAACGAGCCCCTCTATTTGATACCCATATTGTAGAAGTGCATTGAAAATAACTATTCCGCAATCTTGGATGGTCCGCCATATTCGAATCAGAATGACGTCACATTCTTTCTCAAGTTGCTCTCAACAAGCCCTTCCATTTGATACCCATATCGTCGAGCTGCTTCAAAAATAATTATTCCGCCATGTTGGATGGTCCGCCATATTGGATTTTGGATAACGACACACACCTCATCGTGCATTGTCATCCAAACTAAACGTATACAAAATTTCAGCTCAATCGGATGAAGATATCTACTTCAAAATTGAGTTCAAAGATTCCACCTGGACAAACATACATACATTTTGATAAAGAAAATTCCCTTCTGAACAGCTCAATCTGTCAACAAGCAGTTTGGAAAAATAGTTGCCTCTCAGAGGGTTCGTAAAATGGGCGTAGGACAAAAATCTGTCTCGTCTTGTGTAATTTTGTGATTAAAGATTGTCCACAGATGAAAACACAAAGTCATCTCCACAACATATATTAGAATGATCAGAAACAATCATGGAGCATTTCCATAACTATGATACTTCTTATTGACTGATGATCGGCTTATACATATAAGTCAAAAAATGTTCTGTTACGATTGATCTTTGATCAGTTTCCAACGACATGAGGTTTATGTTGGATAAATGTCGATTCTGATAAACTACATACAGGAAGTGTTGAAAAGGAATATTCTCAGATAAATTATGAACATACAAAAATGGATATATATATTTATATAAAGCAATACATTGAGAATTTGCATTCTCTATGTGATGAGAATATTTACTCTTTTTCAGTTAATTCAATAGAAAACAACTACTTTCCTGGCTATATGCCACGACGAACATTGAATTATATCTATTGAACACACACGATGAGAGTTTGAAAATAAAATATAAAAATTTCTGAAATTGAGAATTTGCATTCTCCTTCTGACAAAAATATGTATATACACATATCATTCTGAATATTCAACAGAAAACAACTACTTTCCTGGCTATTTGCCACGTCGAACATTGAATTATATCTGATGAACATTCAAAAGGGGAACATGAAAAATAAAGAATAAAATCCTCCAAAATTGAGAATTGACATTCTTCTTCAAATCGGATGAATAATATGATGAATAATGTGTGTTCAATAGATATAATTCAATGTTCGTCGTGGCATATAGCCAGGAAAGTAGTTGTTTTCTATTGAATTAACTGAAAAAGAGTAAATATTCTCATCACATAGAGAATGCGAATTCTCAATGTATTGCTTTATATAAATATATATATCCATTTTTGTATGTTCATAATTTATCTGAGAATATTCCTTTTCAACACTTTCATACCCAATCAGGGGGTTCAAACTTGAACGATGGAAACTTGTGATTTTTATAGACCTCTAATCGCAGATTCGTGATAGAGTCTCAATTCAGAATTCATTTCCACGCCCTGTATGATGAATGTCAATTTATCATACACCCAAAAGCAAATACATACAGGAAATATTCCAACACATGACCACCTCAGAAGTAATGGAATTCTAAGATTCCTGAGGGTTCATAGCCACTTGATTTACAACTTTCCGTTTATGGAAAACCAATAATAATATCCTTGTCTGCACTAACTGCATTTATCTACCAAGGCAAACAGAAATAAAATAACATACAAAGGAATAGTAAATCCAGAAATATGGTTTATTTGTTCATGATTAACATGTCATAACGTGAAGAACCGCGTTCATGGGAAAATAACTATGAATGGAAGATAAGTCACTTGTTATGTAAATGATGGAGTGGATGACGAATACTCTAATGAAAGAAGCTCAAACTGAGCTCCGTCATCATAAGTTAATACAGTTTTGATACACTGAACTAAAATATGTTGTAGATGTCCATTAAAATGTAGATGAAGATGATAACATCTCATCCTCTTTGTTGGGCAAGTTCACCGCAGTATCTAATAGTCTATTATATGTAATAAATGATTGTGTTCAATAATTTGCAAATGCCCCTTTACCTGAAACGACTCTAGATAGTGCCACAAAGTATTGTGTGTAACGCAAGGATACATCTTGATCGTAATTAGACGTTATTACAGAGGTAATTTGTGGTATGTTAATTAGTATCTTGGATCTTGGCCAGCTCTGAATAGAAAAGTTTAATTGGTCATTCACAGAAGCATAGGCGTCTCCATAAGAAATTCTTCGTATTATAGGTGTCATTGCTTGAAATATTCAACAGCAAATCTTTGACTTCATGACGAACTATTAACCATTCACATCAATACTCTAGGTGATCATCATAATAAGGAGTGAGAAATAATCAACTTATAAGTGACCCAGTAAACCTATCGATGCTTGGTCCATATAATGTCCATGCTTTGTCCATATGATGTCCATGCTTGGTCCATATGATGTCCATGCCTAGTCCATATGGACATGGACACTGAATGGACATCCAATGGATGCCCATTAACCATTAGGACAATGTCCATACTGGACGTGAAGATTTAATTGAATGATGGACGTCCATTGGACTTCCTCGTCCTTTGATCGAATCGAACATATATACCATATTTGCCAATCGATTATTCCTTCTCATTCGAATAGAGTTCATCATATTTTTAATTCCATGTGATATAAAACAATTTCGGAGGTAGCAGAAGTTTTGGAGCGGTACCTCAAATTCGGGAATAGCCCAAAAGCTCATGTTTCATAAACTTTGTTTTCAACTTCTTTGATGTTATTTTATCCAAATGTTTTGTAAAACTTATATTATTTTTGACTATTATTGTATTGTAGATATTGTAGATATAATCCTGACGAATTGTATACCAGTATTGATTCTTGTCAATCATAATAAACGTATTCTATTCTATTCTATTCTATTTCATTGGCAGAGGAACTGCGGAATATGCCCTCCTGAATAAAATGTCTATTCGGAGTAGTGACTATACGGCTGAGCATTGCGTGGTTTCATAAAAATATATAATGTACCTATCTGAAATCATTATGAGACTGATGTGCTATCTCATTCTCCATAAGAATAATTTTTCCTCTATAAATATTTTGAACATTAGTTCGCAAGAAACATAATGTCCAGTGGAGTAGCATTATTGATGAATTTAGCACCTGAAAATCGACCAAAAAATTCTTAAAAAATATGAAATTGAGAGGTATTTGAGTGATGATTCTATTTAAGAAATAAAAAAAATAGACACTCGCCTATTGACGCTTTCTGAGGAACAAGTGAGTATTCCGAAATACAATTGACGCTTTCTGAAATGGAATTGAAGCTTTCTGAGATGAAGGTGTATAATTAATTCCTATTTCTATGTTGAAAAGAGGAGCAGATTCGTTCCTGAAACGTCCAAGCGAGCTTAGTGAACATTTTATATTATTTCAATAATCTTCTTGGAACAGCGTGATGTCACTGACTATTTATTTCAGGCTCTCTGATTGGGACAATTTTAAACGCACGGACATTTTGGGGAAAATCATCTAATTCGTCCTTATGACACATAAATATCAGCTGATCGAAAAAATCTAAGGGTATTTTTAAACGCAAACGGCATAGATATCAGATATTGATAGCTATACCACATTTTTCCTAGAGCATAAAGACAATACCCTCAACTTGAACTCAACGCAAATTACATAGATATTGATAGGTATACATACCTACCACATTAGTTATAGGAAAATGTCTCAAGAACAAGAACATACCTACCACATTAGTTATAGGAAAATGTCTCATTGCAAAAAGACAGTATCCTTATTTCCGTTCGATCACCTTATCTCGAAGTTTATATTGGAATAATATCATATTACTACAAGGAGAGATAATCCCCAGAAATCTTGAGAAATTAAGGCCCTTTATATTCCAAAAATACCTACTTCAAAAGACTTGTGAGTCATGAAGGATACCTACCATGATACCATGATTGTGTTGATATAATCGTTTGTATTGCCTCGTATTGCTGCAACGTTCTTCAGGAGATTACTGAAGGTGAAAAAGCTTAGCTTTGTCAGGCTTGCAATGATCGTCATATGGAACCCATTTCCTTCTTTTTTCTACATATTATATTAAATTGGAATTCCATCTTGAGACGGCTATGTTAATGGGTCTACTTTTTAATGCATAACCGCTGTTACATTCGTTGATGTAATGTTTATAGTGTTAAAAATACTAAGTGGCAATTAAAAGTACTATGACCAGAGTTATTCAAGTTGCTTGTTTTTTTCCACCTTTTTAAGAAATGAATGTAACAAGAATGTTGCGATAAAACGTAGGTAGTGTCCGAATGACCTTGAATATCAGCGAATATCCACTATATCGAGTAACTAGTAATCAGAGTTATGTTCATAATAATTGGAATACCTAATATTTTCTCGATTTAATTGACTATTATTTGTGCTCACCTGTTGCGCATGCGCAGAGTGTTGCCTCTTCATGTAAGGTCTTGTATAAGATACTACCTTCTCTTTAGGATAATTGGTATGGTCTGTCCAAGATTTGGATCTATGTGAACCACCATTGTTTTGGTTTCGTAAGGCCTGGAAAAAAACACAGGATATAATAATCATCGTCATTCAGGGCACAATAATTGAATTGAATTGTTATGTGTAACCTAAATTTCATCTCAATGAAATATCACTATCTATAGGTACCCAGTTCATGATCAGTACTGGGTTATCTCATTTAGGCGCGAGAAGTTATGGAACGAGCCTTGGAACGAGCTCTTCAACTCAATTTACTCCAAACAATGCATGAAAGTATTGAAGGAATTGGAGTATTCGTAACCCCAATAAAAAATCTTTTTACGCCGGCAAGAGTAGAAGTTTCACTGGTAACAACAGAGGGACAGAAGTCTCGTATTATTCCCTAGGGAGATATGTGACATATTTTCTCCCTAGGGAGTTTATACCAACTTTACATTTACCGCGTAGCTCTGCGCTTTCTTTTCGGAACACCCTTCTCTGAAGCGAGTATAAGCTGCATCATGAAGTTTTCTAGATCTCACTGATGGTAGCAAGTTAATTGTATACACCTCAAGACACTATTTTTCCCCTTGGTGATGCTTTGTATCTCTCGGGCTTCGTCCTCGAGCTACAAATAGCACCTTGGAAATAATCTTGCATTTCTGTCACTTGATGTATAATGTACTATTTTTCTTGTCTTGATATGCAAATTTGATTCATTGAAGTTTGGGGGTATGAGGAATGGTTTTTTTAGCTGCAGGGTTGATATTGATGCAATGGAACAATATTTTCTTGAAATTCACCTGAATACATACATACATGTAACGGAATGTAAGAAAGTTGTAGGTTTCAAGAAAAACTTCACAAAATTCTTATTTTGGAAACCTATTATCAACTGTATTACCATCAAGGTATATTTTATGATGCATAGTCACAAGATATCCGATGCAAGCTTGAACTTATGTATACGGGGTGTCTCACAATTACCTTGTCAAACTTCACCAGCGGTTTCTCAGACCAAAAATATAGGAAAGCTAGTTTGAATGATCATTCCAAAATTTCATTCAAGAGGGTATGAACGAAAAAGATGATTTGCCCCAAAATGTCACTGCGTTTGAAAATGTTTCGAAGTCATCTACACAAATTTTAATGGTACACAATCATAAGGGACATGTTTCGGTCTTAAAAAAAACATCTTCAGCCTAATTGAAAGTTTTGAAGTTGAGAACATTTTGATGCTACTAGTTGTGAAATTGTTGTCGATGCCCATAGTGGAAAAATCGAAATTATTAATGAAAAAAACGGGTTCTCAATAAATGAAGGGCCCCGTGTCCTGAGAGCGCATACCATTATTCTCATTGAAATTTCATATATCAGCTGGATATCTTCATTTCTCAAAAATCGGAGCCAGTATGTGTCCCTTCAGGCAACCATGAATAATGAAATCGGAAGAATTGATTCAAAGCCTTCAAATATAGAGATGGGTGTACCTCAGGGATCCATTTTGGGGACCATTCTGTTCATTTTGTATGTCAATAATATTGATTCTGTAATAGCTGGGTGTCATTATACGGCCTATGCTGATGACTTATCTTTGATTATTTTTGCCCCAGACACCAGAATTTTGGGAATTAAATGTATCAGTGCAGTTAGTCAGATATCAAATTTTTTTAATAATCATGATTTATTTTTCAATTCAGATGAAACAGAGATCATTCGCATACATGATAGACAAAATAAAATAGGAATTTTTAGTTTCATGGTTGATAATGTAACATATCTAGAGACTAACGGAGGTGTTTAGTTTCTAGGTATTTTCCTAGAAAAGTTTCTGAACTGGAATGTCCACTGTCAACACTTAATTTCCAAGCTCAATTCCCTGAAGTTTCTTTTCATTAATTTGAGCTCGGTTTTGAATAGAACTCAGCTGCTGAATATTTATTACTCCCAGGTAGAGTCCAGACTTAGGTATGGTGTCTGTTTTTGGGATAGTTCAAGCATGGCGCAAGAGGTATTCATTGCCCAAAAACGCATGTTACGATTTATTGCAAAGGTCTCGGCCACAGAATCTTGTAAACAACTCTTTAAAGATTTTAATGTGTTAACGTTAGTATCTATATATATATGTGAAAAATATGTCTGTATATATATAAAAATAGGTATTTTATATCCATTGTATTCTCGGTGGGTCAACCATCAAATTATCGGAATAGGTATGTCGTGAATTTGTCAAAAGAGCTTTAACACCAGTGCTATGGTAACAGTGAGATCATCACATTTGACACCATATAAAACATAATTCCTCATTACGATGAACAGAAACAAATGTTATTTGAATCAGAATCTAGATAATATCTTGACAAAAAACGGTACGCCCATTTTCTTGATGATATAAAAATGTTCATCACTATATATAACACCAGGATTAGAGATCAATTTCATGTACCATTTGCTAGACTGAGAGTTACCTCCAGATCACCTGAGCACATTGGAAGAAGAATTTTTGATAAACTTCCTGACCACATAACGAATGCGCTCATCTTGTTCTTGTCAAGAAGACGCTAAACAATTTTTTGATGCGGAAATGTTATTATTCGCTGACAGCATTTTTAGACTAGACATAGGTCTTGATCTTTGAATCGTCTTTTCTACATTTTTGTATTTTTCCTTCTGTTCTATGTTCTGACAATTTCTTATACAATTTGTAATATTGTCTTATTGGAGAATAAAGTATTATTATTATCATTATTACATCTTGTGTTATTAGGGCCTCACCTGGGGTGTGTCCGCTGCGGCAGCGACAGGCCACGAGGGAAACTTCTCGTGTCCAGGACCGTACTTGACCGCCTTGAGGCTGGAGGAATCTCGGACGGGCGGCGCTGGTGGCGGCGAATCGTCATCTCTCGTCGGCCGTTCGGGGACAGTCGGCGCTAATCGGGGGCCCGATCGGTCGGATCGGCGGCCCGATCGGTCGTGCAGGTACGCGTAGGCGGTCTGGTTGGGCTCTCTCGGGGGCAGGTTCAGCTCCGGGGTGGACTTCGAGGGCATCATTTTGCGGACCAGCGAGAGGCGGTGGGCCGTGTAGAGCGGCTGTTTGGGGCCCTCGAAGCCATCAGTTACGGATCTGGAATAAAAGAATGGGATATAAATCATGACATAATATTTTTCAATTTCGAGAAAAAAATCGAGACTGAGCAGTAAGAAAGAATGGAGCACAGAATTCATCCAAGCAATGGGAAAGAATACCATAATATGGTATACGGACGGGTCTAAGTCACACGAGGGAACTAGGGTCCCTTGATTGAAATTGACGTTAGAGTCATCATAACAGGGTACGGACAGATCCTCGTCTCCTCTCACTCTAAAGTGTTTGTGAAACAGTTATACAGGGTGGGTCACGGTAGATGGCACCTTAGACGTTTACGGAGAACGGGACATAAGATCATTCTGAAAATTTGGTTACTCAAGTAATTGCTCTTGATCTATCGATCTAAAATATTTTCAGCTCTGCGGCGTTGCCGCTTCTATCGAAAAGTAGCAACAACTTTGTTATTTTAAATAGAACACCCTGTATTTTATCGCATTTTCAGATTCTCTCTGAAAAGCTGATTTCATCGATGTATCACACTTGGGGTCTAGCGGAAATGATTACAGAGATATAGGGTGAGAAAGATCGACATTTTTCAACTTTAGGAATTTTTTTTTTCGAAACTATTCATTATTGGTCAAAACGGCTCACATGTCCCTATCCCAACTTTTGATCAACTATCTACTGACATTTAATTGAAACAAATACAGGGTGTTGCAGAATTCAGAATCTTGATCACCCGGTATATGTCCCAATTAAATATCAGTAGATAGTTAATCAAAAGTTGAGATAGGGACATGTAAGCCGTTTTGACCAATAATGAATGGTTTCGACAAAAAAAATTCGTTAAGTTGAAAAATGTCGATTTTTCACACCCTATATCTCTGTAATCATTTCCGCTAGACCCCAAGTGTGATATATCGATGAAATTAGCTCTTCAGAGAGAATCTGAAGATGCAATAAAATACAGGGTGTTCCATTTAAAATAACAAAGTTGTTGCTACTTTTCGATAGAAGCGGCAACGCCGCAGAGCTGAAAATATTTTAGATCGATAGATCAAGAGCAATTAATTGAGTAACCAAATTTTCAGAATGATCTTATGTCCCGTTCTCCGTAAACGTCTAAGGTGCCATCTACCGTGACCCACCCTGTATAGTTCCGTCCTCATTCAATTCTGGGGATAAACACTAGATTCTTGACATTCGTTGTTTTTTTAGGTTATATTGAGGTCACAGGCGTATCATACGTAATTTCTATATGGAATTCCTGATCCAACTATACCAAGATATAGATGAACAATCCTCTAGTTTTAGAGTTTACTACTCCAGCATAATCTTTGTGAGGTAGGGAACATATTTAACCAAAAGAGCATGTATACCAGGGTTGACTGAATTGCCTCAATGAATTCTGATTTCAAGCTGAGCAGTATAGTTTATCTATGAGCTGAATGAGCAGAGCCTTATGATTGAAAAATGGTCGAAACCTCGATGTGGGTATCGAAACTACTGTACTCATGTGTGCTAAATAACCATTTTCAATCCATTAGCTCATTTTTGGAATCTCCGATACTATTGAGGTGAGTAAATACGTACAGGGTGTTTCAATATGGAACCCTACATGATACAGATATGTTGCCATATCTAACCTCAGTTCTTGCTTCTCCATAGTTTTTATTTTCGAATCACTGCAATACCAGTGATCACGTGAGATATGTCGGAATGAATCCCCGAGGAACATTTTTTGATGCTATAATAATTCATACTTTCCCCCATACTGTACGGTGAGTAAGTTTCTGCATACGTTTGTATTAGATTATTCGATTCAGATCATGTGACACCTTCCTTTGCATCTTCCTAAACTAGAAATGAATAACGATTTTTCATGAGTGTTGGGAAGGAGAAAATGTTATGTTACAAATTTTTGTTCACCTTGATTTTAGAACAGAATATTGATCAGAACAGAAAACATATTGATACCCCTTTGAAACAGCAGCCTTCGATGAAAAATATTAATATAACATTCTGTATTCTGAGTTTGTATCCAAAAGTTCAGGGGTCAAAGCTAATTCACTAATTTCTATATTTAATGTCAGACCATCCACATAAGAAACGAATTAATAGATATATTCCAAGAATATAATCCCAGGCAAGACACAACGATATGTCAAATACCAGAGGATATAGTCTTCCTGGTTCTATCGTCTATCATTAATGTCTCATTTATGATAATAAGCCCAAAAAGGTTTAATAACCACGAAATATATTCAAGAAAATGGGCGTACCTACAACAGCTTAGGAACGGGTTTTTTGTCAAGATATTATCTAGATTCTGATTCAAATAACATTTGTTTCTGTTCATCGTAATGGGAAATTATGTTCTATATGGTGTCAAATGTGATGATCTCACTGTAGCCACAGCGCTGGTGTTAAAGCTCTTTTGACTAATTCACGACATACCTATTCCGATAATTTGATGGTTGACCCACCGAGAATACAATGGATATTATGTTACTCTTTTATATGTTCATGGTTACTACATTATATGCATTAATAGTTATTTAACCAACTAGTGTATCAATGAGGGCGATTAATGATCGAGATATTTTGATGTGCGAGCGAAGCGAGCGCGTTAATGTTCGAGATCATTAATCGCCTTTTAATAAACAAGTTGGTTACAAAATTTTTCTGTCAACTTTATTTCTCATTTCTCCTGCAATGAAGAAAACTTGGTTCGCGAATTCATCATTCATCCGGAAACTGCTAAGAATCACCCAGTAGCCTTGTTACTGACATTAGTGACATTTGACATTTGTCGAAATGATCAACATAGAAAATAAATTCCTTGTGTTAGAAAACAGGGATTCAAATCGTTTCAGAAACTTGGAAAGGCGAACCCGTTAACGGAAAATCTTCTATGAAATCCAAATTTTTGATTCAAATGCAGATTCCGTAAGTTATAGCATATACAATGAATGCACGCGGTGTATGTTTGGTTGCCTGTAAAACGATCGTGCATTAATAGACAAATTGATCATCAACAGGGGTCATTAATGAACGATTTCATATACATTAAGAAAGGCGGAACTCAGTATGCCTGATATTGTAATGTCTGGCTCCACCATCCTCACCAAGCCCACCATATCTATGCTCGGTATTTCCATCAGCAACACTCTTTCATGGGATAATCATGTCAGATCCATCGCAAAAGCTGCTTCACAAAAACTCGGATTCTTGTTCCGTGCGAAAAGCTACTTTACACCTCAACAGCTTCTCACGATCTACAAAGCGCAGATACGGCCTGTTCTAGAATACTGTTCCCACATATGGGGTTCAGCACCAAAACATACGCTGATGCTCTTAGATTCCATCCAGAGAAGAGCCATTCGCCTGGTGGGTGACGCCACACTCACTCACTCTTTGACATCATTGGAACACCGTAGGAAGGTCGGCGACCTTTCACTTTTCTATCGATACTTCCACGGGAAATGTTCTTCGGAAATCTCTGCTATCATCCCTTCACTAGCAATACCAATCAGACGAACTAGACAAGCCCAGTCAGCACATCCTTTCGTTGTCGACCTCGAAAGATGTCGAACAGCACTTTATCAAGACTCCTTCATCCATAGAACGGCTAGGCTCTGGAATTCATTGCCTGTGGAAGTATTCCCAACAACATATAATCTCCAAAAGTTCAAGAAGAATTCCAATACCTACCTCCTGTCCCTATCCTCCCTAGGAACGCACGATGTTCTTTGAACATTATAGGGATTCCCTTTCGTGCGCTTCAATCGATAAAAAAAAAAAAAAAAAAAACATTAAACTTAGTCGTTAATACGAGGTCGACGGAAAAGGTGATTTATTGTGTATCACACCATTTTGGGATTGTTTAGGTGATGTTTATAAGTTTGTCCCCTGAATTGGTCGAGTCACATGCCACTTTATTCAGGTTATCTATCGATACTCCTCGGGATACTCAGGTACTCGATAAAAAAATCTTCAATATCTGAAGAGTCGGTGACAAACGAGGAAACAATTTTTGAACTGCAGGTGAACGAACATCAATTCAGCTGGAAAATCTTCATAGTAGCATTTTTATAAGTTCACTTCATTTTCTGCGCACCAAGAGATGAAAAAATCATCATAAGGAAGACTAGCTCCTCATCCCTATAGGTTACAGTCAAATGTACCCTAGCACGAAAATTCGAACCGTATTCGATTTGATATAAGACAGTTGGGATACTTGCAAATAGTTATTTCTGTACCAAGGACGAAAAACTGTCTATTATAGTCCAGTTTGCAAATTGATAGCCGAGGCGAGAGAATGGACAGTTTTTCGCCGAGGTGCATATTACATTTTTTTGTCGAACTCAAACACTTATATCCACATCACAGGACCAGGTTTGCCATTTCGATGTTTATTTCATCAGTGAATACCTTGTCAAGAATTCAGATCTATTTTATGCTATACGAACTCGAAGAGAGGATAATGAAATAATCCTATTTCCTCGCCTATTTCCAACAAAATAGAAACAAACAGAACAAACATTCTCGTAAGAGAATTATCATATTCCTAATTCTCAATTTGAAAATACTCCAAAATATCACAAAATATACATAGGTAATGATTTGAGTACATAAAAAAACAAGAACGAAACGTAAAAATGAACAACAAAGATACGAAACAAATAAGAAAATTGAACGTTAGAAAAAAACTACATTTGATCTGAGTCAGATAAAGTATTGTCCTTTCTTAGTTTATACATATATACAGGGTGGCCCACGGTCGATGGTACCTTAGACGTATACGGAAAACGGTACATTGGATTATCCTGAAAATTTGGTTAGGTTAGTCTGATAAGCGTTTGTGATCTAACGATTCAAAATATTTTCAGCGAAGCAGCGTTGCCACTTTTACCAAAAAGTAGCATCATCTTTGTTATTTCATATGGAACACCCTGTATTT